TTTCTTTCGACTCGAAAATCGACTTAGAGGAATGACAAAATTGCATAGGTAATTTGTTTCTGATTAGAATTAGTTACAGGCGGTATTTTGCATTGGTCGTTCGTTTCACGAGTGAAATGAATCGTAAATGTTTGTATTAGAACAGAAATTGAGCATCTCTGACTAGATTAGAAGTTTTATGATCGACGCTTCAGGATATGGGTACTCTGGTTTGTGAATCGATGTTTAGGAGCTCCGTATTTTCTTTCTAGTTGCTTGTCCACAATCTACGATCTGTCGATTTCGACACGACTTATTGGTTATTAATTGTCTACTTGTCATGTGTGGTAAGAGGGACGATTTCTCTTGCGTTATCAATAGCGATCTCGACTGGAAAGTTTGGCTATGCGTCTTGTGAAATGCTCGCCGGTGGTTAGGACGCTTGCAGATTGCTCACCAGTCAAAATTTCACGCGTGTATAGCCTTCGTATCGTTTCGATCCGAGTCGCTATTAAATGATCGTCATAATTTCTTCTTTTTTTTTTTTCTACCCGTAATCTACATGGTTTCCGACTTCCCAAATTACTTTCGTCGCGTCGATCAATCTTCTTGGTAGGCACGTTGCCGTCGAGACGATTGATTTCGGAGAGAGATTTTTACGCTTCGAAAGAACATGGTTGCAAGAATGACAGGCACTTCGATCGGAAATTAGCGGTTAGCCGAAACACGTTTCGTTTCTTCAGAGATGAATTTACATTCATTCGCGACGGATGGGACACCAGACTCTTGCCAGTTAATACGTATGTTAGTTCGACGGTATTCAAATTATCGCTGTTGAATATTTCCTGAGGCTTCGCGTTATTTTTGGACGTGGGAACAAATATTTTTCGTGTGCTCCGGGTTATTTGAGGTTCGATGAGTGTAGTTGAATTAAAAACTTCAACTGGGCTGTTTATTCTTATAATTGCTTGCAGTTGCAAAGTGTTAGAACATATTTAGTTTATTTTGTTACGTTCTTTCCTAATTTTTTGATACTCTAGGTTATTCATACTAAAGTTGAGAGAAGTTTATTTTTGCGTTTGTTTCTGTCGAATTTCTTACGCATAACCTAAGTGTCAGAAAAGACACTCTTTTAAATTTTTCTCTCACTAAGTAGCGTCGGTTCCTCGTACTCAAAATAAGCAATAACCATTTCGACAAAGAGTACGAAAATTAATCCATCGATTGAATTAATTATCCGAACATTTCGTTAACCGCATATCTTCCATTTAATGAAATGAGTACTTAAATCGCGTCTGCATTCCTCCGTCGTAATGGATGCGCGAAACAATATTATGCCGTCGATTAAGCGGCTAATTCCTTTTCGCATAACGGCGCCGGCGCAGCGGAATTCTCGAAAAACGACGGGGGCAATCAATTTCCGCTAAACATAAAAGGGCAATCGCGATAACAGAAAGGTGACTACGGATTTAACCCGCTCCCGCGCTGTTAAATCTGTACCTTAACTGCCCGATAAATTGAAAAACAGAAAATTAGCTACGAGAGAGAAATTCGAAACACGCGTTCGCCGAACACGTGGAAGTCGGACTCATATTATGGTCGAATAACGAATATTACTGCAAATTGAAGACGTCTTAATGTCTTTCCGTAGCGTCGTGACGAACGGTACTTTTCCACCAGACGTAACGACGCATGTCGTTAAACGACGACAAATATTTCAATACGGAACAAGACGTGCGGAGGAACTGCGGTCCTAAGACAAAATGGCGTGCCTCGTTCTGCGTTAATTTGTTATTTCCGCGTTCTAGGACAGCTGGAAGCATGGGGACTGTTTGTTGTAAAAGTAGTATTTTTTTCAACCAAACAATTCTTAGTTGGTACTCATTATCTTCAGATCTCCCAAAGGCTCAGTCTTGATCGTCTATTAGGGGAAGGGCTATAATTTTTTGAAAAAATGAGTTTGTAATTTTTGGTTGAAAGTCGATGTAAGAAAATGTCACGAATAAAGTACTCAATTATTAAGAAGCAATTGGTATTCTTGGCGTGTTTAATTTTGAACATTTTTGCACAGGAGAATAATAATAAATCTGTTAGGGCGTGAAATCGTGCTTTTGGAGGATCAAAGAATTCGACATCGAAGAGGCTGCCCGTAACGGCATTTAACGACCGTCGGCCCAAAATCGAACGGAAAGGTCCGTTATAGAAGGGAACTCTCACTTGGCCAAACACGTAACTGTCTAATCTGTCTGATACTACCGTGTAACGAGGCGAAATTCATCGGTGCTCCCCAAACGGTTTCCAAATCCATGTTTCGAAACATCGTGCTTGGGCCATCTCGCTGCTTCGTCGTTCTAATCCTAAAAAAACGTATCCGAGACATTAGACTTTCAACGAATTTCGAAACAGCATCGATACTTCGAAGACATTTTCGTGGTCTGCGATCTTAATTCTACAAATACTCGAGCAAAAACGTAGTAATCTATATTACTTAGATCGTAATAACTAGACTCCTGAAAAATCCTTCCATATGTACAATAAATCCTCGTCGCTTTCCTTTAATTTAGCTGGTCCGCAACACCAATAATAATAATCCCTACGTCTCCACAGCACCGGAGTTACACGTAACACGAATCGACGAAATAAAATATGACACACTGAAGTGGCGATAAACGCGTACTTACGGTGCAGTGGTACGATACAAGTACTCGCTGTCGTTAACCTAACTCAGGATGACACTCAAATTCGAACAGCCTCGCACAAGTGGAATCGACACGTGACATTCACGCGTAGAAAGCGGTATGAATGGAAAAATGTACGCGTTGGCCCTTCCGCGGCTTATAGAGATGTTCGAGATCGTATCACGAGAGCAGAGACCTAATGGCCCGCGCCGCCATAGTGTCGATACAAAGCCTTTCCGCTGTTATTCAGATAAATCACAGCCGATACCATCTACTCGAGTGATACTGCGTGATCCTTCCACAGGAAGAACGCGTGGATCAGATTCTTCTTACAATATAAATTCAAGTAAATATTGAACAAAGCTCTTTCCTTTTCAGGAAACTTATTATAAATATAACAAATTATGGCTACAGCAAGTGTTTCGACACTTAATGTTTCGATTTTTCAAAAAGTTGAGTTAATCGATTTGTCCAGCGAACAGTTCAACTGTTACCCAAGATCTTCTACTATCTATCAAACTAAAACTGTCAAACAACATGCCACTTGTCATTCGACAAACCTCAACCAAGATCAGGCTATCCCCGATCTATCTCCATGGCAATTGAACATAATCGTACCTGATGCGAAGGCTCGAGCGAAAAGTAAAACGTACCAACCGTAATAAAAGCAGCGACGAGGTCTGAACGTGGAGGGCAACTTTCGCCGGTTATTAAAAAATTGCTGACCAACGTAATTGCGGTGACCAATGGGCGGCGTTCAGGGGAAGAAATCGTGGCAGCCGTGGCTGGAGGTCTGGCATTACTATAAACGACGAGTATATGGGACAGTGTTGCTTACCCGCCCGAAGGTGGTGAGCATAAACGCGGATAAATGCTATGCAAATCTTATGGCGATCGGCGCAACGCAAATACCTCACGGGCAGAATCTAGGTGTGCCGGCGATCTCCGCTGCGAAAATAGTATCGAAGTTAACTAGGCGACACGCGAGCCCCGTCGCGGGAGTCGATAACGCGATAAGATATCATCGGACACGATAACCTGTTGGCATCCTCCTGCGGGACGTTCATAAATCAGGGGTGCTTCCACGATCTTCGGTTGGATCTTATCAGGCGATAGGAGACTCGATGGCGAGCGAAATTTGCGGACGTTTAGAGGATATGAGTAGAAAAGCGTAGAGTGGATGCAACCTTAGAGGTAGATTAAAGAAAAGGTTGGTTGGTAGAATGATCCTGAACAGTAGTATATCTCGCTATCGCCTTCAGGGCTTTTTACCCGGCTCGTTTAAATTGAGATATAATTTTACGAGGAGATCTAATGATACGATTAAGCGTAACAAAAAATTTCACTCGAATTCGTTTCATTCAGATGCCTGCACGGTCTAAGGCTACACCTGTCCTGTTTTTGCGGATAAATATAGCCTCGGCTACTCTCTGGAAGTCCTACGCGATTATTGTACGATTTTCATACGTATCGAAGAAAGTGTGGCTCCCTTGGAATTAACGCGGCCGAGAGAGTTAGGTAATTTCGACATTAGAATCTGGAAAAGGTACACGCTTCCGGCGCGCACGTCACAAGAAGCACGAAATTATAGTGTTCAAAGGTTATTACAGGGAGTCCGTGAGTCGCGTTGTAGTCGATCACCGTCGTCATTAAACCGACTCGGAGTTTTAATGTGAGAATAATTATCGCTTGTGTTCGACTATTAATTTGCAGCTATTTTAGATACCGGGCGTCATATTGCGCGTTCGTTTCGTTTACAAAAGGCTCGTTTAACGTTGCTCGACAGCGACGAGGAGTCCAGATGAGAATCTCTGCGTAAAATGCTGATTATATCGAAGTCTACGCGAACTATTGACCGTACGGGATATCGGTCACAAACCGCAACATCATCAAAGCAAATTGCTAAAGTGTGATTAAGCATATTCTCGCTTGAAAATAGAGTGAATTGTACCGTATAAATTGACGTTTAATTATTCGAAGTAACAATGATAAACACGCGCCCAGCGAATGGTGGAATTGAGAAGACAACAGGTGTATTGTTACGGTGTAAGAGAAATTGAAGTTGAATTAGGGGTGGGGCGTTTTAATTTAGAAGCAGAGTATGGTTGATTTTATAGCGGTTAATTGAAATTCCAGAAGCAAAAATTCGGACGATGTTGAGTTTTTAATGTTTTCGTTGTGAATACGTGTATAATTACAAAATAGCATTATCTATAGAAACTACAGAGGGTTAATTTTCCTGGCAGCGAACGGGTCGAACTGTTTATCTTTTAAACGTCTCGAATGTCTTGCGAGCACTCGAGCGCGTAACTGAAACGAAAATATGTTTTTTTCTGTTGACAGGACCGTTTAACTGGTCACGGGGGTATTTCCTCGCTGGGCGGTGGAAATTCCTCGCCGTATTCCGGCGCCCATCACCATGGGCACAGAGGCAATGGGAACGGCAGCGGGATGCCCCATCACGGGGGCGCCTCCTTGCCAACCGCCTCGGACTTTCAACCCCCGTACTTCCCGCCCCCGTTTCCCTCGCACCACCACGCGCCAGCGAGTCCTCAGCATCCAGGCCTCGGTCAGCCACAACATCTCGACTACCTCGTCGGCGATCCTTACACGCAGACGCTCAACACGTTGCATCAACATCACTACAACCATCTGAGCGCCGCTGTTACGGCTGGCCAGAGGAGCGGAGACCTCAGAAGGGATGCGGAGGGTATCCACGTGGTGAGTAATTACCTTCACAAGTTATTTAGAATAATCTTAATTATGAATTCTAGCTTAATTCAATTAACATCTACGAATTACTACGAATTCTTCTTGACTCAAGTGTGTGTGTGTTACCCGACTAGAATACCTACATTAGATCAAGAGCCACTGTCATAGACGAGACCACCGGCAAAGGTCCGTGACGCGAGACGAAGCGACAATCGTCCGCGTGGTGGCAGCCAGGGATCGCGGATGCACGGTACTCACGTGTCCCTTATCGTCTTAGCGTCACGCGTAAAATCGAAGCGCGCGGAGATCCGGTCACGTGCACGTCCGGCTGCCTCATTAGAAAAGTGCACGCCGGCGCGTTATTTGTAGGACGAACCTCTGCCTCCCCTTGGAACAGCAGGGAGGATACGTAATGACGGGTGGTATCGATCTATTAGACGTATCGCGACCGATAAGTCCGTGACATCGGTGATTGCGATCATTGATCTCTCCTCTGGATCACGCGAGCCTCCGCGGCGGCGCTGCACGCGACATTTGCATTCGCCACGGTTCCGCGTGCCTGTCCCTGTGTAATAAGAGGGCTGCCCCGGTGCCGAGATTAACGTAACTCGAAAGAAACCCGAGACGCGCCTCCGACGGCTGAGAAGAAGACCTGGCCAGAAGGAGGAAGTCGTGGACCGAACGTTTCGTTCCTCCCATCGACGCGATTTTTCCGAACCGTGGAACGGATCGCCGGTTTCTTGCAGCGATTCCACGCTCCTCTCTGTTCTGGAATTGCCTACGGGTCGCGTCGGGATACGTTTAAATACGTGCGAGGGAACCACGGTTAAGTAAGCGGGTTTTTGTTTGTAGAGGTGCCAGGTGAATTGTTTGCTCTGGAGGGAACACCGCGCGGAAGACCACGGAAGACTCTACGGAGAGTCTACGCGTAGTAGACGAGGGTTTTCCTGTGTGGTTGTCCGTAGATTCGTTTATACTTGCTGTATTTGGAGAAATGTGTTTGACTGGAGAACTAACAGGCGTATGTGCGCGGCATTTCAATGTGGAGGATTCAGAGATTGTGTGCAGAAGATTGGTCAATCGGGGGGTTCAGATTTTTGGAAGATATAGATTTGTGATGGGGGAGTCTCAGTTCTTTTGCTTGATAGCAGATTTTAACCTTGCCTTTTAACGGTGCAATTCCCGTCGCGAACCATGAAAAACGTACGCTTTCGTAGAGTCTTTGCATTCGAAATGAACGCCCTGCTGTGTCTCGTACGTGGACGGTTCGCGTTACGGTCACACAACACCGACGTACCAGCTATTTAAGGGACAACTTTAGACCTCTAATAACGCTCACGGTAATAGTATTTGCGGTCCACCTTACTCCGATAGCTTTTATGGGAATATCACCCTAATTACACCGGCACGACACGCGCGCACCGCTCCGTTGGATTATGTTTTGGGCGGTTTCCAGAGGTGTCGTGTGACGTTTGGCAAAAAAGACTAGGTTCGACGAAACACGACACGCGAGCGAAGAATGCGTTCGGTTTTCGAGACTGGCCAGGAGAGAATAGCTGGCTCGCTTTAAAGCATCTGTCCATGCCATATGCAGTTTCGAATTCCGAACCGTCCCTTCATCGAAAATTGTTTATTTCGACATTCACGCGGTAAAATGGTCACACGAGGTATTAGATGTAGGTATTAATTTTGCGCTTTTGGAAAACCAAATGTCGAAGCAATCTATGTGTTTCATTACTGTGAATGGTGATACTTTCATGTATCAAAATGGCGGATAAATATTTCTATTTAAAGTAGAGTTACAAAATAATTAAATGTGAAGGCAGAGGCACTCGTAATCTGCCATCGATTCAAAATGTACGAATGATTATACGAGGCTATAAATAATTTATGTAACGCTACTAATTTAGCGGATAATTGCAACGCGAACGGAATTTCGCTATCTTTTCGCGATCTTTTGCGTATTAAAGGAAATATTAAGGTTACAGTTTTTTGAAACAGTAGACAAATTAAATATTATTTGGAAGAAATAAAATCGATTGAAAGTTTCTACACTTTATGTTTTCAATTAGTTTTAACCATTTAAGATTTAAAGAAAGAAACGTGTATGTTTATAGATGAAAACGGAGGGTTATAATAGAAACTCGGCTTTAAAATGCTTTGGCATTTCATGAGATTGCGATATCGATTATTTCAAGCGGTACTAACCCCTCGTACCCTATCTTGGCCTGCCCGAAGCACATTCTTCAAAGGAGGGTGGCCGATCTTGTCCTCAATGAAATCTTATACTGATGCGATCGCCTGGTTTATGAAATATCGAACAAATCCCTCAAATACTTCTGCAGTCTGCCCTAGCGATTCGCGCTTACATCCTCGTGTAACGAAAACTCGTTCAACTGTCTGCTTCAGTAAAATATCGAAGTATTTTAACTTTTTCAAACGATGAAATAATGAATAAATCCAACGTATTTATCTTTAATTTGTTGCTCGAAATGACTATCCAGAATTTTGCTCATTTCTGGGTTACTTTAACTCCCCCGCAATTTTCATTGAGCGAATCGCGAGAAGCCTTTTCCGTCGAAATTTCGGCACAGCCACGCGATTACGGAGGTTCGTCGAGACTTTCGGTCTACCAGAAGACAAAATAGTTAGACGCGGGACACAAAGTCTCGAGCTCTGTTCCCGAACTATACACGTAGTAATGGCGTCTTGCATAGTTGATAATAGTTAGGGAACTTGGTGCTACAGCTATGCGTCAACTCTTACCACCCTTCGAGTTTTCGGTTCGAAGACTACGGTAACAATATCGAGAACGACAACGATGCGAGACACATTTCGCGGTGGCTTGAAGGGGACAAATAATTCAGAATCGCCTCGAAACCTTGGAAATGTTGGACTACGTCAGAAATGTTTGCTAATTTTCTTTTTTTTTTTTTTTTTTTCGAGAACGATGAAATGTAGAAGACAATTTAGGTGGGCTTGGAAATTTGTGAGTTTAAGTATACTATATTTTAAAATACGAAGGAAAGTCCTAATCCAGTGACGGTATACTTGATGATATAATAAATAAATGACAAGTATTTGTCAGTCTTTAACAAGCTATTCATCGACGCTATAAAACTCTGCGATTCCACGATTTCATTTCAATAAAAGGATATTTTCCACGCACCCCACGTCCAGATTATAGTCATTGTGCCTCGAGTGGTTGGCTTTTAACTCTTTCGACGCGACAATGACGCAGATTTTGTGAATCTAAGATCCCTCGGCGGGACAGCCTGTCGCAAATTGTACACTCTCGAGCGTAAATGTAGGATCGTGAAGGGACCCAGACGAGATACTGTAATTCAGTATGAAACGCGTGGGGTAGTATATACGAAGATGCACACGAGGCTCCTCGTTTTCAAGGATAAAGCTATCGGGAATCGGTCGATCCACTCGGCTGATTATTGGCATTGTTGTCTCTTTTTCGGAAGCATATCATCGTTTCGTCTTACTTCTTCGCGAGACGCTTTGTACGATTCGAGTACGTAACTATGCACGATCTCGTGTATCCAGTGGATCGTATCCATACGTTGACTGCTAGATGTCCACGATAGAATTATGTCCATGAATAAATGTCCATTTACACCCCTAAATGTACGTTGAAAGGTTAATGCGGATATTGAAAAACGAAAACAAAAAACGAAGAGGGATTCGATTCGGTCGAGCAAACACGTCGATCATCTGTGTCGCGGTTCGTCGGTTGCATTTTTCCACAATTTCAAGCCAGATCCTTTCCTATAGCGTTTGGAACGAGCTAACTAGCAACGCAGGGTGGAGAAACCAGCTACCCCTTTTACGTATCTCTAGCACCGTCTTAAGGATCGCGATGCTTAGCATATTTCCGTCAAAGTAAACGTCCCTGGCATCTTCCCCGGCGGAATGCCAAAGGTCAGCCGAAAATTTAATAAGTGAATTACTTGAGGGTGGCTAGCCTACGTGGCTCCGGAGGGGAATAGTCTATTTCCACAGCGTCAGATTGAATCGGAAATACACTAAAGTGAACGGTAACTTTCGAAAAACTTGGATACAATATCTACAGTGTTACAACTAGACTGCGTATGTTTGTACAAATTTATATTTTCACGAATACAGAAAAGGAATTGAAAGTTAAACGAACATGTATCGATATTTTATTATATTTCAGTAAATGCATAAACATCCACGGTCTAATAACAACTGAGATACATTTCCGCGATATATTTAATAGCTATATGAATAAATGTTCAACAATGTCCACATTCAAAAATACATTTATATTCACAATATATAGATTCACCTTCTTAGTTCCTTCACGAACAATCGTTCGAAGAGAAATTTTTAGCCCACCCAGAGATGCTTTCGTAAGGAACCAAAGCGCCCACGCGTCGCGCTGGAATATTTTCGAATGACGTCCGATTTTTTATATTCACGGACACGCAAATATTGATTCGAGCGCGTAACGTATTCCCCGCGAGAAGTTGCACAATCGATTGTGTCGGATTAACATTACAACACGAGGGTGACGGTTGCGCAAGAGGGAACAGCGGCGAGCAGGACTCGTTATTGTCGATCTAGAGGACTCGCCGCGATATCCGACGCCGGCCATAAGCCATTTATCAGTATCGATACGCCGCAAAGCCCCGCGACGTGACTTTACTTCGGTGCAGCGTTTAACGAGAGAAAGGCGATCACATTTCATCTCATTAGTCGACTGCCACGGTTACATCAATTTATAACTAACACGGCCCGACGATTGATTCTAGTAGCCGACCACGCCGTTAATTAGCGCAGTTTCCATTTCTTCGGACGGCGTGAAAGTCCTGCTACCAATCGACGACGCCGTTAGGGAAGAATTGCCAAAATTGCACTCGAGACAAGCTGTCTACTTTCTACTTGCAAATTTTGTATTTTCGTAGCTTCCTTCGTTTCTTAGAAACGTAGTTTCTCCTTCCTTGGATGAGTAAGCGAGTCTCTACTTCGAAGCTTACTATTTTCGTGGTTTCCTTCGCCTCCTAGAAACCAAGGTATCGCGGCGATCTGGAATACTCGTAACGGAGAAAACGATTACAATAGAGCGAACAATCTCGCAAGGAAATCGGGGAAACGTGCGCCGAGATTTCTTCTCGATGGGGGAGCCTCGTGGATCGCATAGGAAAGATATATGACAATAACGGCAACGGTTCGTAATATAACCGTATTTGTGGCACGACCGACTCGCGGTCTGGATAAAATCTCCACTTTTTCACCACGGCTGTGATTAAGATTCCAAACGTACGTCTATATGCCTTGTGTTTCAATTCTTAGAAGAACGGCTCGCTTCTTTTTCTACCTACTCACGGTTTCTTACATAAGATTGGCGCACAGGCACTTGCATGCCCATAAATCCTGATCATAATCGAATCATCCATTAAAATACAACGTTTACGATGAATATGGCTGATAAAGAAATTATATCGATATAACGTATAAACTCGTTTTATTTCTAAACGACAAATTTTATTGCGCTTAATCGTTTTTTTTTTTTTTTTTTTGTTTGTTTGTTTAATAGCTATATACGCGGTTAGCATAAATAGTGCTCGACGATAGAATTTTACGAGACTTTTTTTCGTTTCTAAGCGCGATAACTTCTTGTAAACAGAGTGTTGAATCATTGAAAAATTAAAAAGAAAAAGAATATACCGTGGAAGATAATGTCATTCGAATAGGCATAAATAATATCGAAGTTAATTGTTTCTGGTTGGTAGGATTTTCTATTCTCGAGCATAATTATCATTTTTTACTGTCACTTTTGATCCTTCTGAGAAAAGATTATGTCGCGCTAAAGTGATTATTTTTATTTCGAAATTATTATTCTTCGATCATTCATTTTAGTCCTTTTTCGACGATATCATATTGTATAAAAAGCAATGAGTCCTGTTGTCGCTATATTTAGACGCGAGCGATAAATAACGAATAAGAGATAAACAGTTGTCCATTTATCATGTATCATTTGTTTCTTGCACTGAATACCATCAAACTGTCACCAGATCATTGTAAACATATCAATTTACACAAGTTTTCACACCTGTTTTACATTTTCATCTATTTTATATTCCAACGTCCTTTCATCCCGTCTATTCCTCCATAATTTATGTACAGGTCGCGTCTCGTTTTGCCACAAAATTTGCGATTATGTAAGATAAAAAAGAATTAATCCCTGTCTTTAGTATGGATTTAACTTTTCTTTTATATGGTTTTATTTTTCGTCGCATCCACTGCTTGGTAATTAACGACGGATTTAATTGAATTTCTGTTTGATTGGTGGTTCTATATACTACTGTAAAGTTTAGTGTCTTTGAGATAGTGTTTTGTATATGTTTCTGGGTTCAAGTTGCACTTGCTATTCTGTAGCTCAAATCTTCTGCGCTCGTATGTGGTCAAATGTAATTTCTTTATTACAGACGTCACAGTGGCGAGGGTGGATTTAATTTTGTTTAACTCAATCGGAACAAAATCAACTTTTCGAGTTACTAATAAAGTTACTTTTCGTAAACTCCCTCCACGGAACATCTTTGACAATTATTCAACAAAGTAAATATATCAATTGTTGTTGCTCTTCAATATAAACGCGCGTATCTTGCCAGAACGGCGATTGTAATAATTTATACAACGATGATATAACCACTCGCCGACTGACAGCAATAAACGCAACCTGCGACTAATAATCAAATATTTATGAACAATATACCAATCGTTTACAGCTTCGCTGCGGGCAACGCACACGTTCCACGCGAACGAATAATAAAATCAATTTAGCCCCGTCGCCGTCAATGAACACTTCCCAATGGTGTACGCAAAATGATTTACGTAATTGCCGACGATACCGGATTTACCGAGTTTTTAATTGCTATTAATTTCTGGCGTCAAACCTCGCGTCCGCTTCTGCGCACCGAACCGTGCTCAATCTTTATTTATACTCGGGGCAGGGAATTAACCGGATGTCAACCAACGAATTTATCGTTAATTGCTCGAATCGTTTCTGCACGAAAGTCGACGTGCAAACGGAGCACCGAGTGGCTCGAGATATATTTTTCTGTTCGACAAAAAATGACACCTGGCTAGGGCAATGATTTTCAACCTTTTGGAAGGCGCCCCGCCCATTAAAAAGAAAGCTTCCGTGCTCGAGATACGTGCAATTGTACACGAAAATATTGGAACGCTGAAATTGTTATTAATCGAAATTTTAAGATCATTGAAAATCGAGGTTATAACGTGCCACTGGGTGCGCTATGCTGTTGCAACGTCTTCGAGGATTTTTCTGAATTCTCTAGGATCTAGCTTCGTGCCAGCAAGACGACAAAATCTTCCATCTTCCTATCCGCGCGCTATTATTGCATTACGTGCCTCCGCGAGATTGGTATCAACAATTCGAGCTATCCTCGAGTCATCGAGTCATCGACGTCTACGTGAGAACTGGGTCTCATTTCAACTCGTCCCTTTCCAACAATTTTTCACTCAAATATTACTCGTTTTCTTAATAGAAAGAATTCGAGTCGCATTCTTTCAAGCATGAATTTATATTTAGTTTGATCAAGTGAAAAAATCACATCAAAATTTACTGATCCTTTCAGTTCGTATAAAACATCAAAAACTATGGGTGGTGCTTTTGGGAAACTCCCTTTTGAAACCTAAACTTCGACGATTGCAACGTGTTCAGGTTCGTCGAGAAAGTGATCGTTTCGAGTAAGTAAATACGCTCGAGTGATTCTTTCGCAGGAATTCCGCGAATGGTGTATCATGGCGTGGCGGTTTCGCAACTCAAATCGAATCGAACGGAAATATTTTACGTGGATTTCCACTGTTGCTTTTTATTAATCAGTCGACCATTGAAATTCAGTCAATGTGGATGTTGACATTATTTTTTACCGTGTTCTGGGGATGACACGGTCTCTGAAATATTTATGAGGACCGTCAGGGTAATTTCAATTTCAAATAATGACTTTATAAATAATTATTTCCTGCCGGTACAAATCTTATTGTTGCTTTCGCAGCGTGGCGATATTTTGAATGTGCCAACTTAAAATACATTAGGCTTGTCCATTGAAGGTTCTTTTTGTTGGAAATGTTTGAATTCTTTGTATCCTTGTGTATTTCAATGTAGTTATATATTTAAGTCACTAGACTTAAGTTGCAAGGTGTTCCAATTGAATTTGAAATTTGTTTGGAAATAGAGAATTTGGTGTTTGGTTTAGGGGTTTCTTAAGATACCGAAGGATAGATAAAAATTAACGAGATTCTTTTTCTATGAATTTCAGACGAACATGCATGCGTCGTTTCCGTACGACGGCGGACGCAGTAGTGGCGGCGGCGGAGGAGGCGGTGGTGGAGGCGGTGGCGGAAGGGGCGTCGAATATGGCGCCGTACGCCGTCCCGACGCTCTCCTGCCACCCCCAGGCCTCGACCAGACCGACCTCGTTCTCCACAGCAGCCTCGTAGACGACCCCCAGGTGAGCGACGATGTACGTAATCGCAAAGCATTTTCTCTATTATCATTCTAACCGTTGCTTTAATCGAATCACGAAGGAAAATGCTAACCTCCCCTATGGAACTCTCTAAAGAAGATTTCAATTGGTTAGGATCATCGAATAAATCACAAGTGGAAGGCCCAGTTATTTTGCTTAACATTTTCGTAAAAAAGCACCTTCGTTAACGACCTTATGAAATTCTGATTCGATTTTAAGCTAACGAATTCATTCGTTCATCACGAAAATAATTAATTTTCTGATCGTTGATATTTTAATGGTCTTTAAATAAATCCGGAAGTAACGTTCAGGAATACACTAAAGTATGCCCAGGTATTAAACGATCAACGACTGGTAATATCTGATGGAATATGCTGTGAAATTAACGTGTGAATATCATTGTTTGCATGTCAGAAACTTAAATCTCCACGACACTGTAATAATACCGACGAACTTTTGAGATACATGTGCTTGATCGTAAAGATTTCACACTTCTTAGTTCACAGATGCCAATAAAAATATTCTGATTCAAATTTTAATTTCGAATTGAAATTTTCGACTTTCCCGTCCCTAACTCAAAAATGCGTGCAACTTTTCTTTTTCGTTCGATGCGAGACATTAACATCTGATGTGTATCGTTTTCAGAACACAAACGTGGACGATGGAGGGTTCATGAACGATCTGCCTCTCCTAAAAAGTAAGTAACTTTTATTTCGTACGTAGCGATAGAATCACGTAAACGAAGGTTACGCAATTTATATCTTCCTCGCAATGACGAATTACGATCGAGAGTACTACAAGCACACGTCCATACTAACTGCAGCATTAAGGCAGCGCTTAAACTCGGTACTTTATCCTCCGTCGTTGCGATAGCGTTCTCCGCGGGTTTCCCACAAGCGCGTCTCAATTCGAGACGACTCTCCTCGATTCGTAACTCCGAGTTACCGACAAGATCTCTCGAATCGAAGTTTACGCCGCGCGAAAGCGCGAAACGTCGACGTTCGTCGAGGGATAAACACGCGGCGAAGTGGCTACCGTAATCCCTAGCCGGGATAAAATGTTCGCTGCGCTACCGGAAATATAAAGTAGCAGCGTGGCCAACTTGTCGCTCTTAATTAGAATTTATCTCCCTCTGTGTCGTATCGACTGCTCGTCCGCGAACGGACCTGGAGTTCCAATCGCGACGGAAAGGCAAAAAAGCGGATGGCCTTCGAACGCTGACCACTTTTATCGCGGGTTCTAACGGTCGCAATCGCATGCCGACGGAAAAAAATGAATCGCAACTGTGCGAGCGTTCGAGTCTCTGATCCGACGATTTTTCCAGTTGGCGACGCTGGGTGAAAGTTTGGATGCCGAGAAGGAATTTTGGTTACCGTGGTCGGGGGCCAGAACTTGCTATGCTTGCTATATTCCTCGTTATTAAATCGAAGTGTTCTTCATTTTGCTCTTCTCTGTCTACCATATAATTTTGGTACCGTTAACTTCCTAAATTAATATTTTGCTAACAGCGACTTCGGTCAACGTTGTCAATAATTTCAAACTTTGACGTCATGGCGTCCTAAAAACATAATAAATATAAAACTACGAATTTTATACGTTTCTAATAAATCTGAAGAAACGGTCTGACGTTACTTCAAAATATTCGCAGAAATAAATAAAGTCAAGAACTGTACCCCCTGATAGAATCATAAATAAAAACGATACGTTAACCCATTTAGACAGAATCGAGTCGCGTGATCTCCAACGAAACAGGAGGGTTAACGGAAGAGCTACGCAGCCGCGTATTTCAATAAAGAAACCAGCCGTTAAGAACCGCCATTGAAACGGAGACAAATCGCGCTACGTATTTTCTACTATCTCGTTACGCTACCTTCCCCGCCAATGGTCTTTTTACTGTTGCCTAAGAGGACGTCAGTTATAATTACGTAGCTTTTCAATCGCCGGTTGACTCATTAATTAAGATTATCGCGACGAACGACTAATTATGAACAAAATTATGCGCTGCTAAACGAACTAGCAAATCGCACGCGCAACATTGCGAATTTATTAATCTGATCACTGAGCGATCGACAAGAATAACCAGCTGGTATGGGACGCGATCGAAGTCGAGACACGTCATCGGCCTAATTAAAGCTTTTATCTTCGGACTCGAATGAAAATCGGAACGGATTGTGGGTCGCACTTTCACGCCAATCTCGATCCAGATTCTTGGAACTATAAGCATACAAACGACTAGTCATTTCTACAGGGTGTCCTAACTGTCGTAATTCGATAGAAAAAGAAACGATTTATTTATTAAAAATTCCTCTAGTGATTCATCGACACTGCATTTTACAAAATTTCATTTACATTTTTAGAAGAAACGCCCCCTTCTCGACTGTACCCCGATTACTTGGACACTCTGTAGATAGGCAGCGAACGCCTATAGTCGCGGAGCGGCGACTTTTCATTTAACAAGCTTTTTCGTGTAGGTGCGTAAATGGCTCGCGTGAATAGGATAGAGACACACAGGTGCTAGGACTGCCCAATGCACGTGGTTGCGTAACGTTGAACCAGTTAACGAATGGTTCAGCGAGGAGGATGTCTTGTGGATCGCGGCATTGGCCAGTTATAAGGAAACTTGCCGTTCCTTCGATCCTCTTAGGCCGTGCTACCGTCCAAGCGACGGGAGAACAGTAAAATTACGTATATTTTCATCGCAAGTGGTAGCTACCTTGGACGCGGTAGAATTATGATTATTTTCGTGACAACTATTTGAGTAAAATATTTGTAATAAAAGCACGTCCACTTCCAAAGACACGCGCTACGTTGTTCGTGTAAAAATTTGGCGATTTTTCTTTTACTGGATGAACAAATCAAATACTTAACAATTTTAGTATGTGACGCGTGTTCTGAAAAGTCGTTTAGGTGGGAGAACGGCTTTAGGATCGCTGACAGCCGCGTCAGAGTTAGAACGTATCGCGGCCAACTAAACGCGTTGCGAAAGTGTCACACGTGCGCTTAGTTGGCCCGACAGAGCCACGGCAGACGGATTTTACCCTCGGGTGTTTTCCTTCTAGACTGCCAGAGCTCTCACAGAAACCAAGGAGTCTGGATCGCGACTATTTCGAGGAGAATGCCGCGAATTGTCGTCGACAAAATAAAACTAGTTTCTACATATTGACGTATTCGATAATTGCTCCCTATATAAGGATTAAATGTATCGCAAACTTTTCTTTTCGATTTCAATTACGTGTTATAGTTACGTATACTACTGATTATTGTTGGCTCCTTATCACATAGCTGTGTTCCAATTTATTTGTATTGCAATCGTGCAAATTTTATTTCATTTATTAAAAGAGAAACTGTTCGATCAATTTTTATAAATGAAAGAATATTTTTAATTCTCAGAATCATCACAAAGTTACTTTCAAGTACATTCTTGGAGTGAAAAGAATACCAACCCCCCAAAAACTACTCTCGTTCTTCAAGAATAAATTATTTCTACCATTTCATTAAACTCGTCAACAACATACCATACCTCTTTAGCAAATAATTGGTAAATTCTTGGTGCACAAAACCCCCTGAAACTATTCTCACTATCCAAAAATATATAGTTTCGTTAGATTTACGAGTGTCTCCCCAGTAAGTAATCGGTAAGTAGCGGTTAAACTTGTCGAAATTCTAGCGTCTAGTCGTATTTACCAAGTCGTCGATTGTAGAGCCAACCCTCAACGACGCGTTGTAATTCCTGCCTTCCCTGAATAGGCGACACAATGGCAGAAAAGGTACCGGTCGCGATACGAAGCTAAATACGTTTCGCGAGTGCCAGAGGTGCGAAGGAAAAAATCAAACTGGAGTGGATGCCCGCAGGCGGATCGGATTTCGTCCATTGTCATTGTAATTTCTTGACGGGGCGCAGTTTTCGGGGCGTTTCACACCGCACGGGGTATTACCTACAGATGGCTGTTTGTTCGAATGTCACTGTGGGTTATTATATGCCTCGTTACGTGCCCTCTGACGGCTTATTTGGCCAGTTTTTCTCTCCTTTCTATTTTCCACCGATTCTTCTTTGTCCCTTTGTTTCGACGTGCGCGCGCGCGACATTGTATCGTCGAATTCAGAAAGGCGAGACCGAACCGTGTTCACTTTAACGCGACCTTTTTTTCGAACGCCGTTGGAAACTGTGCCTCTTTTCTTACCATTGACGCGACCTCGTGTACAATATCTAATATTGATTAGAAACTTAAGACTCATACCATAAGTGCATCGACGCTTAAATTTAAGATTTTTCAAAAAGTGAACCGTTCAACTATTAATAACGATATTATAGAACTCCGAAAGAACCTCCATCTGAACACGCAATAAAAATTGCCACATTATCGCTCTTCGACTTCCCACAACTTTCCTCCTGGCATCGTAAAAAGTCCACGAATGACACAGGACTTTCACCCGAGTCGCTGATAAGCTCGCGTCTTGCATTCTTCGCCAGTTTCCTGATTTCACGTTCAATTTAACCGTTCAAAGGATTAACGTTCGCGCGTCTTTGTCGCGAATCGCGGTGTCCGCAACGTCTCGAGATTTAGGAGCCTAATCTCCTACGTGAAAATGTCGGGCTGCCACCCACATTCCCTCGGAATCGGCTCGTCACTCTTGGAATATTCAGTCGATTGGCAACGGCAACGACAAATACACGCACCGACGACACGACATACGCGTTTCGCTTCTCGGAAGCCGGTTATACAATTACTTGCAGCTTACCTTGGCTCCTTCGTCACTCCTCGACGTGCTCCAGTTTAGCAGACCGACGTTGCTCCAAGGTACTGGAACGAACCGATTTTTCTCTGGGACTCGGACCGCCGAGAAATTTCAATTTCGAATACCGAACGACTCGTCGAACGGTTGACGAATCTTTATGAATACCGATAATATGAATGGACCAACGAGGAAAGTAAAAATGGAGAAAAATAGTTGAAGGGTTACGGCTCTGCGGTGGGGAACGATCTTTTAAAAAATGTTATTTAATGAAAATGGATGTGTGTTATCTAGGTTTGTTATTTCAAGCTTAAATCACCTCCAGTGATGTAGGTTGAAATGCACTTGTTAGGACACACACGTTCCAATGAAATAACATCTTTTAAGTTTCGTTAAAAGACCCTGATCGCCACAGTGAAAATTTTCGTTTAATAATAACTACCTGTGATTAAATCGTTAAATAATTTGATTCGTTAATATTTGGAAATATCGATGATATGAAATCGTTGATTTAACCGGTGTAACTTCTTAATCCCATCGCTACACGAGGCTCGATCCCATAGATCCCCGTGCCGCGCAAGGAAAGGAAACGAGTTTTTGTGGTTGATCAGTCGTCCTGAGGCAACGGGCGGCTCCCGAGCCCTGCTATTTCACTTCTCGAGCGGCATTAGAAATAATTAATCATTCAAATGAGGCCAAGCCGAACGGCACGCTTTTACTTCGTTAATGATTTTTCGAATACACCCTGGCCAATGGCTGGGGTCGATCGGCTTTCGCCGTTAGGGAACCTTGTCGAATCTATCGTCCATTGTGCTCCTAAATTACCAGGAGGACTTGCTGTTGGATGTTGCCACACTAATAATTATGTAATTACGGATTTTTGAGGTTGCGCTATAACTATTCAAACTATTAATACAACCCTTTTTAATACAAATATGTAAGATGCCAACAAAAGGGAAATTC